CAAATCAGTGAAATTAATAAATTATGCTAATTAGGTAATTAATATGTAAAGATATTACCCTAAAAACTATCAGGTCTGTGCAGTGTCTTATGACATCTATGTACCAAGTTTCATTGAAATGTGATGTTTAGTACTTGAGATATCAGTGAAAAAAAAAGAAAATTGACTAATTATGCAAATTAGGTAATTAATATGCACGGATTTTTACCAAAAACTAATCAAATCTGCGCATTGGCCCAGAGCATCTATGTACCAAGTTCATCAAAAACCGATGTATGGTTCTTGAAACAGCAGTGGAACAATTGGACACACATACACACACACACACACACACACACATACATACATACATACATACAGACACACTAACTGCAAAGACTCCCATTGTGTGCTTCGTACATGGGAGTCAAAAATGTTGACATCTTATGATAGTATGTAATATTTTTGTAGGTGAGTGATATGAATCTAGGTAACTTACTCTACATATGCAAACATGCAGAAATATCCAGTACTATAGGACTGGCAGTTTAAAGTCATATAGGAAGTGTATAGTCCTATAGGACTTATTATCTCACACACCAGTCATATAGGACTGGCAGTTTAAAGTCATATAGGAATTGTATAGTCCTATAGGACTTATTATCTCACACACCAGTCATATAGGACTGGCAGTTTAAAGTGCTATAGGAATTGTAAAGTCCTATAGGACCTATGATTTCACACGCCTGTCCTGTAGGACAGGCAGTGTAAAGTCCTATAGGAATTGTATAGTCCGATAGGACTTATGATCTCACACACCAGTCCTATAGGACTGGCAGTGTAAAGTCCTATAGGAATTGTATAGTCCTATAGGATTTTTGATTTCATGCACCAGTCCTATAGGACTATACATGTCCTATAGAATTTCATGAAAAGTCCTATAGGATTTTTTTAAATTGTATAGTCCTATAGGATTTTTGATTTCATGCACCAGTCCTATAGGACTATACATGTCCTATAGAATTTCATGAAAAGTCCTATAGGATTTTTTTAAATCCTATAAGATTTTAAAAATCCTATAGAAAACTTTTGTAAGGGTTGTTCGAGTGAGTGTAAACAATTCATAGTTTTTTGGTCCTGGCAACTAACTATTAAGCCCTCGCCGGCCGAACGTCATCAGTCTCCATTGTTTTGTCAGGCATGTGTTGGGTTTTTCACACGACCTTGCCAGGCTACTAACTATTGGGTAAACAACAATAAATGTATGTACTGGAATTATTCATTTTTTGACCGTATAAATTAAATATTTGTTGTGCAAATTATTGTAATTTTTACTCAAATTATACTATTTTCAAAAACGTTGGCGTTTGTTAGTTTGGAAAATCAGTGTTTAAGTTGAAATGGCTGCGTAGACTTGTTTTGGGTGAGCATTTTTTCGCCTGTTAAAACATTTGTTGTTCAAATTATCGTAATTAATACTTGTATCATGCTATTTTCAAGACCATTGACAAAACTACTTTTCAAAAAACGTTTTTCCGAAATTTTCGAACTTAGGATGCCTGAAAATCCAAGGTCTATTGGATAAACCAAGGTGCGTCTCTGGGGTCAAACAGAAGATATATTGTTAATCTTCTCACTGTTGCGTGAACTGTGATTTTTGATTGGCCAAGAGACTTCAGGCAAGAAGAAAAATACGAACAACAATCAGTCAAGCTCCACGAATCTAACGACGTTCCTGCTTTTTGTTTGACAAGCTCGTGCCATAGGGTCACCTACAGTGGCCCATATATACAATTGGTCCGCTACATGAAAATCTGTCCACTACTTAAAAAATAGCTCTGCTACATGAAAATCGGTTGGCTACTTAAAAATTTAAATCAATGTTTCTGACACAGATATGTTAGATTTGTTGCGCCCAGCATGATTAAAACTGTTGTACGACACGATTTCAATTGTGTACTAGCTTTTTTCTTCGCATAAGTTGTATTTAAATATCAACAGCAATGGAAAACACATTTATTTAAATATCGACAGTGATTGAAAACACATTTATTTAAATGTTGACAGCGATTGAAAACACATTTATTTAAATATCGACAGTGATTGAAAACACATTTATTTAAATGTCGACAGCGATTGAAAACACATTTATTTAAATGTCGACAGCGATTGAAAACACATTTATTTAAATATCGACAGTGATTGAAAACACATTTATTTAAATGTCTACAGTGATTGAAAACACATTTATTTAAATGTCGACAGCGATTGAAAACACATTTATTTAAATATCGACAGTGATTGAAAACACATTTAAATGTCGACAGCGATTGAAAACACATTTATTTAAATGTCGACAGCGATTGAAAACACATTTATTTAAATGTCGACAGCGATTGAAAACACATTTATTTAAATATCGACAGTGATTGAAAACACATTTATTTAAATGTCGACAGTGATTGAAAACACATTTATTTAAATGTCGACAGCGATTGAAAACACATTTATTTAAATATCGACAGTGATTGAAAACACATTTAAATGTCGACAGCGATTGAAAACACATTTATTTAAATGTCGACAGCGATTGAAAACACATTTATTTAAATGTCGACAGCGATTGAAAACACATGTATTTAAATATCGACAAGATTAAAATTTGTTTGCTAGCTTTTCCGTCACAGAACATTTCATTTATATATCAGTCGTTATTGAAAATGCATGCAATTATTCTGCCACATATTATTTTGACATATTTGGGATTGATTGTTGTTAATGATACACGATTAAAATCTATATCATACATGTATTTGGGCTTGTTTATATATTTGTGCAGATTATTTGTGCGTGTGCCAATGAGGTTGCATGCTCATTATTATGACTGTTAACGTGTTGGAGCCAAGCTTATATCCATTATGATTTACAATCTGTAATCAAGTTTGATGCCCATCTATGCAAATATTTACTTCTCTGTAAGGTGAGGGAGCACGAAAAAAGTCAGTCGCAAATCTCTCCAAGTAATTGCGACATTGTTGCACTCTCCTTTTTGCGGTAATAGTCAGATCGTTATAGTTAGGTTTATTTCCGGCACAGTATCTCCTTCTGTGTGACTGATTCCAGGTTAGTTTCGGCCAAGAAAAACACTGACAAGTATTGTTTCAGCAAGTTGGCAAATTGTTATTGAAATAAACTGTCAGCAAATTTATGAATGGGCTGACAGTGACATTCTGTTTTATTAATTACCTAAACCAACTGTCATTATCAACAAGTCACTAGTAGTTTACAACGTTCAGTCCATGACAATAATCGTAGTTTAACATTGGTGGCGCCTGTCTACATGATACCGGTAACAAGTTTAAATTTTATGTTTGGTTTATCAGATTTGGTTGTCAAATGTACACTTACATCTAAAGTAAGTTTATTTTATTTTATTCATTATGGATGAAAGGTTGTGTTCACGGTCAGAAGTTTTTCGTAAAAAATGCGAAGAGGTTGTATGTGCAGCAGCATGTTGTATGTGTGGAAAAAATGCTCTATCATTCACATGTGAATTGGCTGGAAAACTGTCCTATAAATTTGTGACGTGCAAATTTGCTTATTCCTTCATTAAGCCCTGCACAAATTATGACAAAAGATATTTGGTATGTACAAAACTAATCAACAAATATGATGGATTGTGACGTAAAATTATTAAAGTATCATATTGCTTAGAATGTAAAAAATTGTTTCAATCTGGAAAAAAACAATCCTTGATTTTTTTTGACAATTACGGTGTCACACCAGAAGTGTTTAATATTCTAAATACATACTATGAATATCGACAATTAGCAATTGGAAGTTTATATTGTTCATCATTTAAACCACCTGGATATGCAACCTTCCACTACCCTGGTAATATCTCAATTTCAACATCACTTGATCAATTACATGGTATGCTTGGTGTACTATACGATGGTGCAAATAACGCAGGGGAACCAAGAGTAACCATGGACCGTCTAAACAAATGTCTAAGATGGATCCATGCAATCAACTTTCTGTATAAAGAGTTTATGGACAACTGTCAAACATTACGTGGATATTTCCCACCCGAAAGTGCAAGTTCTGCTTTTCCATGTCTTCCCACCATCACCGTAACGCAATAGTAACCAGTTATTATTGTTTGAGTTACAAGGTCAAGAAAGACAATTTCAAAGTATCCGAGAACCAATTGATCATTCCAAAATAGCTGCTGGGGAGAATGTTAACAAAAGTTCAAATGAATCAGATTTAGACAAAGTAGAAAAAATTGACATTTTCTGATGAATATTTATAAGCAAAATTATTTCCACATTTGTTTTGTTAGGGAAAAGGATCTTGCACCTTTTGAATGCTAATATGCTGTTGTAATAATGTGATAAAAGATACATGCAATATAAGTATTTTTTATTATTATGATTTTAAATTTTATTAGACCAGCTTAAAAATGCAGTTTCAGACTTTCAAATTTGATTAATTTTCTAAACATCCACACTAACTGTAACTATTTTGAGTACTCAACTCCAGAATCACTAATACACAATTTGCATAATGCATTGGAAGTATGTGGATGATAAAGACGTATCCCATGAGTTTGTCCTGTTTTCTCTTTCCACATGTGATAACTCTGTGTTGCTAGCTTCTGCCAAACTCTGTAAATTGGATCAAATTTGTTGGAGAATTTGGGTGTATCAACTGCATCTTCCATTTGAGGCACATCTTTGTGATTAACATTAGTCCAGGAGTTGGTTAAAAAGGCCACAATCTGATAGTCATTGACAACTTTCTGTAAAACACCCATTAAATGTTCCACTTTTGTCTCATTAAAGTTATTTCTGTCCATCCAATAGAAAGCACTAATACTGTCCACCATGATAACAGCAATATTTGGCTTGTTGCCTAGCAATGTCTCCAACATCTCAAGAGAAATAAGAAATTCCAAACTGTCATGGCAGCGTTCAACATACAGATGTTGTAAACTAAATTTAATGATACTCTCTACATCAACACTGACAGAATTCTCATTTGTGAGATGGTTTCTAATTTTGTGGTTGATGCAGCATTCTATAACATTGACTAGTCGCAGAATGGAGAAATGCCAGTCATTATCAATAAACAACACATCAATGTTGCAGCCACCAAGTTCTATCCCTTGCCATTTGACAGGAAGTATACAGTTTGCAATCCAGTGGAGTAAAATCTCAGTCTTTCCACAGCCACCTTTGCCAAACAATTCAATAATATTTCCAGGTGGTATCGATGATGTGAAGAGAACAGGATCAATTCCATGAAGATCTGGTTTCCTCCCCAAGCGGGCAATCAACTACAATGAAAACAAATATGTCACAATTAATTAGTTAATTACACTAGAAATTTGGTGTGATCTTCATTTTTATGACAAGAAAAAATGATTTGTTAAAAACATCCAAGTATAGTATACATGTACAACCCCACACCCTGCTATCAATTGAGTAAGTAAGTATGACATATGGTAATATGCAATAAAAATACAATTTTATTCTGGTTCTTTAGATATCTGTAAAACAGTCATGAAACATCTAAAAATTGATGAATTATCTATCATGCAAATAACATAATTAATATGCATGGATTTCAACCAAAAACTAATCAAAGCTGCACACCAAAATCCAATAAGTTGTGGAAGACATACACACACATACATACAATTTATTTTATTGCGCAATGGATAAAAGCATGTGACATTACTGGTACTTATTTACATATTTAAAATGTTGAAAAATATATAAAGTTTAAAATAACTGTAACAGAATAAAAAATACTCGCTGAAACAAAAAGGCAAAATGTTATATATTTATACAAATATTAACATTGCACGTTGTTTCAATATTATTAGATAGAAATGAAAAAGTTCAGTGTTCATAAATATACAAGAGCCTGTGGCGTAAGCGTAAGCCGTACGACTGAGGGCAGCAAAGGCGATATCCAGTCCATAAAGGTTATATCATATACCTTATAGGTGTAATTACAATTTTACCATGGCATGACTTCAAACAGAACATAATTTAAAATGTCGCATTTTGTTTTGATTGATGAAAGTCGAAAAGTCATACGTTGAATTTGCAGCTTCTCCCTAATGGCTATGTCAGTGTTTTTATTTAAATTGATCAGTGAGAGGATAAGAAGATGAATTTCAGGGCAAAATAATACAACTTTTGACTAGAGGTTCAATGTAAACAAGCCATGCATGACTCAGTCCCCGTTCTTTTAATTTAAGATATACAGTTTTTTTTATAGTTTGGGCATAAACAGTCAGAGCTATGGATTTAGAAGCTGATGCTTGATGCTGATTTTTTAACATTAAAATGATTGACTTTTTGTCATCTTGTATCTGACCGTCAAACGAGTACTTGTCCATATTGAGAGATATTGCTCTAGAACCACATTCATTAAAATAAAATGTCCGCCAGTCAGCAATTTTGAATCTGATCTGAAAAATAAAATGACATGCATCAATGTCCCATAAGGTCCAATGTATGTACAAAGTTTGAACAAAATCCATCTGTAAACAGCTAAGATCCAGTTCCAGAATGCCAGAAATGTTTTATTTTGATCATTTTTCAGCATAAAAATGGCCACATTTCGGCCATCTTGAATCAGATTGTGAAACAAATTGATGGGAACATGTATAATATTATGTATGATGTATGTGTGAAGTTTGAAAGTAATTGGTACAGGTATGTTTAAGATGCACACATACATTTACACACAGATACATGCATGGACACACAGATGCATGCACAGAAGTCTTGAATCCATGAGTCCTCGATTTCAGACTGCATCCAAACAGGGACTAATTACATACAAATCATTAATTAAATTATAAACCTAGTGAATGTAATCAACTATATAAACAGTGGTTGGCTGGAGGAGAACCAACATTACAGTCAGTTAGACTTAAAACTTTACAAAACACTTTGATTTTTGTTCAATCTTGTAGGAATGATATTCGCTCACATTTGATCAGGTTCAGATAATAAAGGCATCATAATGTACATCTAAACAATACACTATTTATAAGTACAATGTTACAACAAAAAACTACAATGTAACAAGAATGCAAAACTGAAGAAATATACAATGAGGTATCCTTTTATAGGGTTGAGTAGGATTCACACCTCTAGATTAAAGATTGGAGGGAAACAATGATTGGATAGTAATATTGATATACATGTATCAGCTTTAACTTGACCTTGCAAGTGATTTCTATTGCAGTTCCTGCTGATAGTAGTTAATACTAAATGGCTTATGTAACTCGAATCTGTGTTTCTTTACAATAGAGATATATGCATTATGGTATAATTAACAACTTTCACTTGTTGTATCTCAGCATGGTTCTTTTTTAGTAACCGTGATCTCAGCTAATATAAGTTGGAATTGCATCAAATAAAGACGAAATGATACAGTAAAATATGATCTAATAGTACTACTAAATTACGATCACGACAGAATAAAACAATACAAAACAACAAAAAGTAATATTAATGAAAAATAATAATAACTTTATTGCATCCTTAGAAATACAATGTTTCTATCAGTTAATAGCAATAAAGATTAATTGTGATAACTACTACTAAAAGAAAGTTAGTTGTTAATGGGATAAAAACAAGTGTTACATATCAAATTACTCTCTGTAGTAGATTTTCGTGTTGAAAAAAAATTATTATTATATCAAATGCCATTTTCATTTCTTGATTGAAATGAGATACAAACTACATGTATATGATTATAGTTGCCTATCTTTTTTTTTCATCTTTTGAAGTCATCAAGAAATTAAATTTCTGGAGATCATTGTGTGTTTCTTGTGGAAATATAATGTCTTGTATGATTTGTTGGCCTTTTACTTTATATTGTGAGCTTATCATCACAAAGTGCAGTTCCTCTTCTATTTCATTCTGTGTACATTGTTTGCAAATTCTATTTTCAGTAGGTATTTTTGGTTGCATATGCCTCTATTTTTCTATGAATGAGGAAACACAAATTTGGATGAGCATCCACGATAAATCTAGACTTGACAGTGCCATTCAATCAACACGTACACAGTTTAGATCATTCCGTTATAATACTAGAAGAGGGTAAAGTGCAGTTTTTCAAAATGATATGCATTGATTCGAATACAAGATAGTCAAGACATGAATATGTGCATCATGGTGACTGCGAATCTCACACAGTAAAGCTATCAGTTGAACGGTACCATCTAGTCTAGAACAAAGCCATGCCAAGCCAAGTGTTTTGCAAAATACACAACCATCTTTCTGCGAAGCTAGAGTAAGTAATCAGGACTGATTCAAACTAAACTTTTTTCATCACACTGGTGTTTATCAAAGTGAAAAAAAAATATAAATTCAATGAATTATGTATGAATATATGTATAACAACATTTTGTCTTTTAATACTATAGGGGTTGTACAATGTATATGCACGATTTGAGTAATTTGTTTGTGAACATGGGTGTTGTATCTTCCGTACAGCCACAGCAATACCAAACCTGGGTACCGAACATAGCGATAAAATGTTAACAATGGGACAGTTACCAGGTTCCTGTAAGCGGGTATAGCTTTTGGGGGGGGGGGGGGGGTAATATC